TGCTGCATGCTCTGCCAAGGGTTGGCATGCAACAATGCTTCAAGGTCAGTCACATTTCTTCTTCTTTTCTTTTTTTAAGAGCCACCATCTGCATTAGCCCAAGGTACCCCTATGCTCCTACTTAAAATGGTCTCCATTTCTTCGGGTGTCTCCCTCAGCAGGAGCCTCCACTCTCATCTCTGTCCCTTGGAACAATCTTGTGTAGCCACAGGGAAGGCGAGTCCACCTCTTGGCATTCCAGACGGGCCCTCGCTGCTATCCCAGACTTCAGGCTTTAGGGACCCAGCAACTCCTGCAGAGGACTGGAACAGTCGCATGGGCTCTCCCAGGTGTCTTGCACTCTGAAATGGGGACCCTCAACTCCCCGCTGCACATTTTGCTCTCAGGAACAAATGGGTCTGAGGTTCAGCCATGTGACCAGGACAGAGGTAACAAAGCTGGAAATGGTCTTTCTCTTCCCCCTTGGGAAATCCAAGATGCTGCTGCAAATCATGCCTGTCCATTCTTGGCTCTCTAGACCCCCTGCCCTGCTTCTACCACCCACATAGTTAACGGGTGCTAGACAAAGAGGAAGGTCAGCATCAGGGGCAGCAGTACCCAAAGCTCCTCCCTCCCACCCCAGACCACCTGTCAGGGCATGCTGGGACTGCTTCTAAATATCGTCTCACCCAGCAGAGGGTTCCCATGGGAAAAGAAGGCACACAGGTTGTCCCAGCCAACACAATATCTGTGGTACCTATCCTCCTTCCCCACTTGCCAGACCTCCACCTCCAGCAACAACAGCAAAACACACTGAAGAAATCTGTATTCAAATAAGGTGTGTTGACTTTCGACTTCAGTTCCACCCCAGAGGGCAGGTTTGCTCTTCAAGTGCAGAGGATTTAGAGTCTTGGGGCACTTCTGTAGTGGAGTGTAAGGGGGTGGTGATGAGAACCTAAATTCACACGAGACTCCTGGATGAAGTTATGGCATTTTATTTTTCTGACTCTGAATAGCGAAATGCACATTCATCGAAGTGGTAAGTATATTCCCAAAGTTCCCTGGAAGATGAATGCTAAAGCTAAAACAAAATCGAGGTGAATGTAGTTTGTTTAAAGAATAGCCCCATTAACAATGGGGGCGAAAAACGCTGATCCCATGAAGGATACTGGAGCAAGTACTCACGGATAAAATACGGAAAGAATGCTGTAATAACACGTATGATCACATTTTTATTAACAAAGAAAGTCTTGTTTGGAAACAAATCGTCCCTGAGAGGAGTCCGAAATTAATCCTCTGATAGGCAGAAAACCACACTACTTATATATTCTAATCATAATTACAATGTGCTCTTAAAGCGAACATTCTAGATTATTAGTCACTTTATTAAGAACCAGAGAAGGGACTTCTGCTGCATAATGAGAGCACCTTACAAGCTCAGAGGAGGGAAAAACCAAGACAGTTCTGCATGGAGCTGGAGAATGGTGGATGTAATTTATTTAATAAAAGTGCTTAGTTTCTCTTTTTTATTTAGGAATTGGCACACCCTTAGGGGTTCAGACAGCACTGTGCTTCTGAGCTGCTCTTTCTAGGGCAAGATAAAAATGTGGATCACAGAAAAATAACAATTTATCATTGTAATGGTTACATCCCACTTCAGAAACCACTAGAGACTGCTTAACATTTTTATTTCAAACATGGTTTTCCCGAGTCTTCAGGTGACAACGGATACTGATGCCAAAAAGCTTTTTGTCCATTTTTTCCTAATAAAAATGGCTAGATTCTGAGTTCATTTTCATCTGGGGTGACATTAAGGTCTGCGCTTTTGCAGACTGATCCTTCCCTTCCCTCCTTTGTGCTCTTTGAAAGTCTCCAAAGGCAACATCTGGGCCCAGTCACCGAAGACAGATGGGCTCCTTCTACTTCTTCTCCCATCCCCTGGGGACCTCTGGTAGCGGCACAGCATGCTATTTAAATGTAATGATACGCTGACGGGATTGTCCCTGCGCAGTGCGTGCTTGGCGCACTCCTACCATGAGAACCCATTTTGTATCTGTTCAAACCTCCTCATTATGGACGGCTTTCTCTATCTCAAAACATTCCTGGGATTTCTAGGTGCTGTCATTGAACTAATTCTTATTTTTTCTTCTGTGACTTTCTACAGCCAAATTGTCTTCCTCTGACCCTGAAGGGGGCCAATTTCCTGAAAATAATCACTTTTGCTGCTGTGGTTATTAACGGGTAAAAGGTAGGGAATCCGTTCGGATTTCTTCTGTGCTGTGGCAATATTAAATCTTTGATGTTTCCTGCCCATGTTAAGACTTCCTACACTGGAACCTAACTTGCTTAATCGTTCTCTTGTTCTTATGCTTTAAGAAACAAGGATCTAAATGTTCCACTGGGTAGTGGGAACTAAGGACTTTGTAGAGTAGTAATTAACAGTAATAAAAAAAAAATTTTTTTTTTTAGTAATAAAAAATTTTTATTGAACCCTAACTATGGATCAGATGCTAAGGTAAGGGCTTTCAAGTATATTCTCAATAGCCCCATGAGGTAAATATCACATTATCTCCATTTTATAAACAAAGATGAGATGAAAGCTTAGAGAGCTTAATTCACTCACAGTCACATAGCAGATAGAGGTAAACAAAGCCTCTGCATTCAGTTAACAAGACTCTGGAGCCGGAGTTCTCACCCCTCACACTAAACTTAATTATGCTCTTGACAGATGGGACGAGTGGTTCAAGGCGTAATAGTCAGTGTTTCCAAGGCAAAGGCGTGTGAGTTCAGGGATTCTTGGATGCCCCCCTTCAAATTTACTCCCATCTCCTAACGTTTAGAAATGTTTCACCTGGAGTCCACATGGCTCCTGCTCGTATCCTGGGAAGGGTAGTATCTGGGGTCAGTACACAGAGGAGCAAGGGGAGGAGCCCAGGTGCTGGGGCCACAGACAGCCCTAAGAGTAGAGCCATAGATGTCTACACACAGTGAAGAAGAAGGCCTGGGATGTAACTGCCTTCAGTAAAGGTGCCTCGTGTGCTGCTTTATATCCCAGGTAAGTTTTAGCTTGATCAACAAACCTGAAAAAAATACCCTACCAACAGACGAGGGGTAGGGGTGGTTTGCAAACGTTTCTCAGGGGGTGAGGTTGGTGCTGAGCACACCAAGAGAGTCCAGGAAGCAGACAGCCTTTGGGCTCCAGGACCCAGCCTCTGTGGCAGGCAGGCCAGCATGGACACTCCTCCAAGAGCTGTCCAAACAGTCCAACCTTTTGCAACGTTCTGACTATCCCTGAATTCCACGTGGAGAGTTCCCCACAGGATGGAGCGTGTACGAATGATTCAGCAGTTGGGTTTTCATTCGTGATGAATAAACTGGCATTTTGGTTTATATAGCTGTCACCTTTGAGTTTGATTAAGGTGAGTCAGTTCCCCTGAGCCTCATATACTGTGGGTGTGCAGGCAAATTAAAATTTCTGGACCCACAGATGAGGGAACTCAATCCTGTGCCTTAATGACCTGTGGGGAGAGAATCTTTTGCCCTCCCTCAGCCCCTCTCAGCCCCACGCTGTGCTCCTGCATCCCCTCCCCAGGGACAAGGGGGAAATCAGTCCAAATCTAGGGTGCTAATGAGGCCGTGGTTATGACGGAATGTGGTCACTGTGTAAAAAGGCTGCTCCCTGGGTGTGGTGCCCGCAGGCCCCATGAGGAACCCATGCTCTGGGCATATTCACTTGTGCATTCTCGTTCCTCTCCATACTCTTGAGCCCTGTGTCACGGAGCTCACCAAGGTCCCAAGTGCTGGATTGCGCCTTAGGGGAGAGGAGAGGCCAGACCAGTCTATTCACCCCAATCTGGCTCTTGTCAGCCTGCAGGGAGGGGCCTGGGCAGCCCCACCGTGACTAATAACGTGGCGCTCTGCTCTTCTGGTACTGCCTGGCTGGGGAGGGAGGGTGGTGGCCATGCTGTGAGGTCGGGTGGGATGCAGGCACTCCTGGGTTGCTGGCTTGACTCTTAACAGAACCCATCCAGGAATTCCACCTCACGAGATGGTGCCTGAGGACACACCAGGACTGGGAGCCGGGCCCCGGAGCTGTGGTGGTGACCAAACCTGACCCTGCCTTCCCAGGGCCAGCCGTGAACTTGGTGGGATGGAAAACCCCACGCGACAAACAAACACAGTGAGAGCCTTTTTAAGACTCCGCCTCCCCCCCCGGGGTAAGAGTATATGATGAATGAACGAATGATTCTTGAGGCTACACAAAATTCTCAAGAATAAATTGCCGTATCTTGATGGATCGCACTCTGTTTTCAAAGTTTCGTTTTATTTTCTGTGATTGGGGTTTGTTGGGATCAAAATGGACACTCAACAGTTTCTCAGTGCCGGCGCTCCTGACATCGAGGCAGGGTAACTCTCTGCTGGGGGTGTTGTCCACGGCCTGTGGGGTGTTTAGCAGTGTTCCTGGCCTATACCCACTAGCAACCCCTGCTCGGTTGTGGCAACAAAAAATGTCTCCAGACGTCGCTAAATGTTCCCAGGAGGGCACAATCGCCTCTGGTTGAGAGGCACCGCTTTAAAAGGCTGAACCGGGTTCTCGCTAATTCGAGGATTAGGTGGAAGTACTGAGTTGCGGTACTTGAAATTCTGCAGGCAGTGATCCTATTAAAGCACCCTCCCTTTAGCTGTGCGTGCACCCTCCGGTTTGTTTACGTGGGAATGGCAGTCCCTGTTGGGCAGAGGGCCACAGCTGAGGGGCCCGCCATTTGCCAGCTGGCTTCTCTCGAGCCAGTGCTGTTGGCAACTGTCAGGTTGTGTTGGATGCACTGTTCCCAGAGTTTAGCGTTGGGTTTTGTGGGTGTCATTTGGTCAGTGTTCCTGGTAAGTTGGAGGTTAAGTTATTTGGGGGCCTTACATTCAACACGAGGGCTGGTGTGGGGACTGTCCTTTGCAGTCTTATTCCCAGGTACCTTGCAGCCCCCCAGAGCAGCCCAGTTATAAATATTCAACACGAGCCAACTCACCTCTGTGGATGTGTGCCAGAGACAGGGAGGCAACATGATGAAGACACGAGTTCCAGGCACTGAAAAAGTCCTCTTTCTTGGTCATCACCTGTCAAATGGACAGAATAGAAATAACCACCGATGATCTTCTCAGAGAACAGAGCTTAGAAACAAGGTAGATGGCAAATGTGCACATTTTTAGTACCACCTGAAGCCTGGGTAACTTGCAAGGCTGGCCTCCATGACGCACGGGAGTTATTTGTTGATGAAGAAATGCCATCAGTGTACTGTGAGTCCAGTTTCTGTGTTTGTAGGCACTCCTCACACAGAGCAAACGTGGGCACTGCTGGCCACCGACTCTGGAGATGGAACAGGTGTCCAGGAAACAATGTGAAGGGGAGAGCGCAAGCATTGATAAAGCGACACTGTGCTAATTGGGTCGCTCGCTGCCTGAGGAATTGTGAATAACAGAACGAACTGCATAAGTCTAATCTGCAGCAAAACGAACCTGCCTTGCCTCCCGCCTTCCTTTTGTTGTAGGCAGGTACTTCCATTCATTCTCAAGTTGTTTCTTGAATGCCCATTAGATCTCCAGAATTGGCATTTGGCCGTGGCCAGGTGTGATGTGTGTGAGGGGATCCCAGGAGCGTGGAAACTGCGTACACAGCACCTCCACATCATCCATCTACGTGACGGTCCCTTTAGCCGGTATCCCCTATGGAAGGTGGTCTTACAATCACTCCAACCAAGGGAGTTGTTTTGCTTTGTTTCTTTGCTTTTTTGTTTGTTTGTTTGTTTGTTTTGTTTGTTGTTGTTGTTTTTTAGTTGGCGAGGAGTGAGGAAATAGAACTAGAAGAAGATAAGAATGAAGAAAATACACAAAGAGAAAGATGCCGCATCACGAAGCTGGCAGTTAGTCATTTACGTGGAGCTAAGAGCAGATTCTTATCTGACCAGAGAAGAGTGTTAAATTTGTCACTTCTGACTTTTCTTTGTTTCTTCTTGCCTTTTCTTTTTTTTTTGTCTTGAAAACCTAACAGTTTGATATTTAAATTTTTAGCCTTTGTCTTTGCTCAAAGAAACGACACTCAAATAGAAAGTCAGACTCTATGCATCTGCTTCCCATTTGTTTTAAACTCACACGCCGAGCCCTGTGGTTGGAAGGTAACCTGCCCCCTGCAGCTCCACAGTTCCTGTAGGGCCTGGAGGACTTGCTTTGTCAAAACCCTCCTATAACAGAATGCTTTGTGCTCCAGTGGAAAACCAGCACTGCAGAAAGCCTCTACCCATGTATAATTTAGCACGATTACCTGGGGCAGCAGGCAGAGTTTGGAGGATCATGTCACGCGAGACTTGGAGTCCCCACCTAATGGGGGCGTCTTATGACAGTCAAGGGAGAGGATAATGTTTGTCTCGCTCCCTGAATCAGTATCTCTTGGTACTGGTGTCAAAATGACAGCTGAAAAGGTGTGATAGAGAATGCAACTCTCAAGGAATGGGCTAGAGCACATCTCTGGCAGAGGTGAGGACAAGAGCTGGCCAAATACTCCTGTCCCCAGACACTACCCATCACACTGCAGACGAAAACGCCGGGCAGTCCGTGCTGGGGCCTGGTGGACGGGCTCTCCTAAACGTGTTGGCCGTCCCTTCCCTACCCACCCCTGGCTGTATGGGAAGGAGAGAGGAAGGGTAAAATAGTGTGCAGATGTGTCCAAACAGAGCTGAGGGCATGCTTACATTTTTTAAAAAAACTAAACATACACACTTAAGTCTTCACTGGCCTGATCTAGAGAAAACCAGAAACAAAAAATTGGCTGGACAATGTAGACCCTGTGTGAAGAAGGGACTTCAGATGAGAAAACACTGCAGAAGGCCCTTTACAAAACTTGCTATGACTGTACCCTCAAAAAGTACAAGGCAAAAAATAAAAAAAGCAAGTTCAAGTTAAGGGGAAAGGCCCCTTGAAGGCCTGCCAGCCTGCTCCTAAGTGCTTTTCCTTATATGTCAACATCACAGTGCTGCAGCAGGACCCACTTGAGCAGGTTCAGAGTAACCTCGTTCCTGCTGGCAAGTGTCCCCTCACACCCCACATCAGACAGGAAGGCTGGCATGACTTACCCCCGACTGAAGGATGGCACCCAGGACTTGGAACATGTTGATAGAAAGGCAGATGCCCAGGAAAGTGACAGACTGACTGAGATGCCTCTGTCCCCTTGAATTAGAGTTTACTGGCAAGAAATAATAGGCTGAAGCCAATTGGGGGCTGCACAGTGGTCCACACGTCCAGGTGGGGCAGCCCAGGAACAGTGTGTGGGGTCCATTCCAGTCCACTGTCAAGTGGTCAAAACAAGCAGATCAGAAGGTCAAACTCTGATTCAGCCTTTAAGTGTAGACTCAGTGTGAACCCTAGGGTGTCACTGCCCACAGCTGTAATCCAGCTGATAGTTGCCTATGCAATGCACAAGATTTTTAAATGTATTTATTGCACCAATAACATGCAAAACAACAAAAATCAAGTATCTAACCCTCTCTCCTTACAAAACCTTAATAGGAGGTTTCTGGAGAGTGGATTTTTTTTTTTTTTTTAATGGATGTCTGTTCTTTACCTCAAGCAGTAAACCTGCTACTGAAAATTTGTATGTAACTTAGCCTTATGTAAACTAAAGCCTTCTTAAAATGCACCAGACAACAGATGCTGTTTTAAGCTCTTAATTGCATTTGCTCATTGAGTCTTCAGAAGCCCCGGAGGTAGGAATTACTGACATCTTTTGATACCTTCATTTTGCAGGTGGAAAACTGACACAGGTTGAGGAATTTGCCCAGGGTTGCAGAGCTGGATTGGGACTAGGCACCCAGGCTTCTGAGCCCATGTTTCTAACCACAGGCTACACTGCCTCCCAATGGACTAATGGGGAGTTGGTTCCCTGGCAACACCTGTCCCTCCCAAATACAGTTCATAAAGATGCACTGTCACACATGGTCATGTGTAATGTGAACCATATTCCACATTTAAAACCTCTAATGGAAATAAATGCTTACTTCCTAATAAATCATCACACAGTTAAGACAGGGCTGAACTCGTAAAGAAACCCCTGCTGGCCTCCCTTTTGATGGATGCCTATGTCCATTCTCCCTTCTTCTTTTCTAGAAAAACCCCTAAAAGATTTGGGCAGCAATATATCCAGTTAAAAATACTTATCTCCCTACAGAGGATTTACCAAAAAACCTCAGCTAACATCACACTTAATAGTAAAGACTGAGCGCTTTCCCCGTAGGATTGGGAAGACAAGAATGTCTGTCATCACTTCTACTCAATGTTGTATTACAGATTCCAGCCAGGATAATAAGGCAAGAAAAAGAAATTAAAGGTTTAGAGATTGGAAAGGAATAAGTAAAACTGTCTTCATCCAGAAAGACCCGATTTTCTATGTAAAAATATCCTAAGAAATGTATCATAAAGCTACTAAAACTAATTAGCAAATTAAGCAGCAAAGTCACAAGATGCAAGATTTTGAAAAAAAAAAACCAACTGAATTTCTATATTCTAGCAATGAACAATTGGTACTTGAAATAAAAAAATCATTGCAACAGCATCAAACATATGAAATGCTCACAGATACATTTTACACAGCACATGAGCTATCTGTACACGGAAAGGAAAAAACATTGCAGAAAGAAATTGAAAAGGAGCACACAAATGGAGAGCTATACTGTGCTCATGGGCCAGAAAACTCTACATTGCTAAGATGTCACTTCTCAGTGATCTATGGAACCAGCACAATGCCAAGCAAAATCCCAGCAGACTTTTCTGTGCATAGAATTTGACAAGCTGATTGTAAACCTTATATGGAAATACAGAGGACCTAGGATAATCAAAACCATTTTGAGAAAAAAAAACAAGTTGGAGGATTACACGAACTGATTTCAAGACTTAGTATAAAGCTAGAGTAAATGCAACAGTATGGTATTGGAATAAGAATAGAAATATAGATGAATGGAGAAAAAAGAGTCCAGAAAGCCATACAGGCATGGTCAACTGATTTTCGACCAAGGTACCAAGGTAATTGAATGGGGATAAAAAGTCTTTTCAACAGCGCCAGAACAACTAAACATCCTCCTACAAAAGCAAACAAACAAATAAATGAACCTCAACCCTTACTTCACACCACATTAAAAAGTTAACTTGAGGGCGCCTGGGTGTCTCAGTTGGTTAAGAGACTGCCTTCGGCTCAGGTCATGATCCTGGAGTCCCGGGATCGAGTCCCACATCGGGCTTCCTGCTCAGCAGGGAGTCTGCTTCTCCCTCTGACCCTCTTCCCTCTCGTGCTTTCTATCTCTCATTCTCTCTCTCTCTCAGATAAATAAATAAAATCTAAGAAAAAAAAAGTTAACTTGAAGTCGAGCACAAACCTAAATGGAAGACTTAAATCTAAAATAAAATTCAAAGGAAACCATGGGAGAACATCTTAGTGACACTGGCACAGGCAAAGATTTTGTGAGATAAGACACAAAAAGGTTGAATTTCATCAAAATTAAAATTCCACTCTTTAAAGAACTTAAGGAAATGAAAAGACAACTAATGGATTAGGAGAAAATATTTGAAAAATCATGTATGTAATAAGGATGTCTATACAGAATTTACAAAGACAGCTTACAACTCAATAGTAAGAAAACAAAACATACTTTCACAAATGGGCAAAAATTTTGAACAGACACTTCACCGAAGCAGATAAATGAATGGCAAATAAACACGTGAAATAGATTTGAGAAATGCTAATTAACACCACAATGAGAAACCACAACACATCCACCAGCATGGCCAACAGGAGTAAGACTGGCAATACTAAGTATTGGTGAGGATGTGGGGACTCATTGCGGGGACTCAACTAGAACTCACTGCCGGTGGGAATGGCAAAATGGCAAAACGATACAGCCACTTTGGAAGACAATCTGGTGGTTTCTTATAAATAAACATATACGTACCATAGAATGCAGCCATTCCACTCCTAGATATTTACACAAGATAAATAAAAATACATGCCCATGCAAAGATTTGTATGAGAATGTTCATAGAAGCTTCATTTATAACAGCCCAACTGGAATCAATCC